TTTTTGAGGACACTGTTGGGTATAAGGTGCAATATGAAAAACATGTAAAGAACACCAACAGCAGGGTTCAATTCGTGGCAAAACCATAAAAAGGCTTGAACAATCATCATCTGGCATACCATTATTGCAGGATTTCTACCAAATAAAAAAGTAGTCCTTTTTAAAGTCCTCCTGGTGATGGTCTCTGCTCAGATTATCACCATTAACTTCAACCATGCCACCGTAATTTCAATCTACACATTCATGATCATGGCTACTCTATTCCATTACACACTTAAGGCAGGTTTGTTATAGTGCCTCCACAATGAGCTGGTCATGACCGCCAAACTGACTTTCAGTTACAGAGATAAATATATACTGATCAATGCAGATTTCTGACAATTATTTCAATTAGTCAAATCTAATTGTTTAAATCAGCTCTGCTTTTTAAAGTAGATTCTAGAACTTCTACAATTACATTCCAACCCTAAAGGGACAGTTTAGCCAAAAATGAAAATTCTGTCATTATTTACTTATGTAGCAGCTTGAGCTTTCTGCTATTAAGGAAACCCATTTCTGCCACAGTATTTTAAAAAAGAAGAAAATGTTATTGCTTTTTAATCTCACAATTCAGACTTTGTTTCTCTCAGAATTGTGATGTATAAACTCGATTCTGACTTTTTTCCTCACAATTCTGAGTTTACATCTCACAATTCCAACTTTTTTTCTCAGAATTCTGAGTATACATCTTGCGATTGATTTTTTGTTTCTGTCACTGAATAAAAAATAAAATAGACAATTATGACTTTTTTTTTTTTTAAATAGGTAGCAATTACCTTTTTTATTTTTTATTCTGTGGCAGAAATGTTCTTCCATAATTAACAGAACCAGTTAAAAAAAAAAAGTCGTTCTTTTTTTAAGTAAATAAACAGAATCTAAAATAAACAGGTAAGTAAACGATAACAGAATCTACATTTTGGTGAACTATCCCTTTAACTGACCATTCTGCCAGGACTTTCAAAAACTTATTAAAGAAACACATACCATTTAAAACCACTTGCCATTACCTGCATTAAGCTGGGTTTTCTTAAAGAGCAGGTCATATGGGTTTTTGAAAAATATCTCTTTTGCAGATTATAACGTAGCTATCCTTAAATGAAAACAATCTGCAAAGTTGTTAATCAAAAAAGTGCATGATAAATAAAGATATTGTCTCTCAAAAGAGAGAGTCGATTCTGAATCGCCTAAATGAGTCGTCATATTTTTGAATCTTTTGCCTGTTATCGATATACGTCACTGGGTAACACATTTGCATAATCCCCGCCTGCCCGCAGTCTGACCTGCCCACAAACACTTCCGCTAGTTAGTGTGTTTACATCATGTCGAGAAGACGCCGTGTTCAAGGATACCACAGAAATACAATTTGAACCTTTTGTTGTGTGCATGTCATTTTACCAAGGACTGCTTCTCTAATCTTGGCTTTTATCTTTGTCGGCTTCTAATCTTCTTTATTTGGACGAACAAGCTCTCCGAACCACAACCTGTGATTGATACGTTATGTGTACATTTTCAGTTGAGTGCTCAAAATATCAAGTTTTTGTGCTAATATGTGATGTATACCTAGTGCAGCTTTAGGTTTCCAGGTAAAGCATGATATTACTGTCTTACTGAAGTAGTTCTGATAATTCGCTGTGAACCCACTTTTTCCTAAGAATGTGTCGATTAATGTAGACTGACGTTGTTCTAACCTCTTCGTTTAATAATAATGAATGTAGTGTAGTGCACAGACTTTATAATCATTGTGAAATTGCTGTTTATTTTGCTGCACCGGCAGTTATAGGGTTAATGCGGGAGAGACGAGCGAGTTAGTTAGGCTGGTGCACCTGTGATACAGCTGTTCTGTGTTCTGATTAAAAGTTAAGACACAGAGCGTCTTGCCGCAAGCCCGCCGGCCGCGCCATTCTCAAGCCCACCGGCCGCTGCTCACTCTAGCCCATCGTGTGTGACGCTGTGTTTCGTTGTGAAAGCGAAACTACGTTGTTTGGCCTTCCAAAAGAGGACACGACTAGAAATCAGTGGTTAAGTTGTATTTACAACACTGTTCCAGAACAGTTCAACCCAAATATTCTGATGTGTGCAGCGCACACTGTTTCCTGATCCTGGTAGAGTAGGCTACAGTGCCGGCTGTTCTGACTCACAGACTGTAAGTACGTTTTT